ATAAAGGTTTCAAAATATTAAAGACCACGATGAAAACTGTATCTAAATTCTAATGACCATAAAAACGGGGATAGAAACAATAAAATAAATCCAACTCCTTGAAACTGAAACTTTATGTAGAATACATATAATAACTTGGCCTAATTTTTTTTAAAACAGCAATTGCGACCTTCCAGCATAGTCAACTGTAATGTTTGCGCCACAAATACTTGGGCCTTGGTCATTACAATTACTGAATTAGTCTATTAACTTAAACAAACAAGCTTTCAAATTATACATAATACATTCATTTGCAAATGATAATGAAGAAGTAAAGTATGGTCAAACTTTTTGTATCGTATTCATTTCGGCACCTTGAACTAAGTTGAAGCTTTGAGGACCCCATCTTGTTTACGTGAGTTTTTGGCGGGATCATCAAAAATATTTAATTATGTAACACGGACACATTCCAACACCTGGTGCTTTGAACCACGTGGGGATAAAGAAAGTAAAATGCACTCGTTTTTTTGCAACAAATATAACATAAAAACGCTGAACAATTGACAAAAAAGACATGCACATACATAATTTTAATACTCTACAAGCGCACCGCACATTGAAAATGTTGAAAACGCGGCAACTTGATAGACTTTTTCAAAGCTTGTCTAAAATTAGGAACGGTCGCTCTCTAATACAGAACTAGGTCGTTTCTTACGGAAAATAATTTGACATGTTCGTACTTTAGTTGCTGGGGAATAATATCAGCCAAACAATTTGCTGGTTTACCTGCAACATACTTGTAAGCGAAGTTCGTCTCCCGTCTCCATGCCACACTACTGTCTCGCCATTTTGTATCTTCTCCAAAATTCGCCAGGTCAGGAAATCCGCATTTTCTCTTCAAAACATCACCAGAACGGCAAAAACACGGCTGAAACTTCCCAACATTCTTCTGAACACTTAGCAAAAACATTCTACCGACGAGAACTCTAAAAACTACCCAAAAATTTGTAAAGAAACTCAGCCAAGTCTTGCGAGACCGCCATTTTGAACAGACCATACCACTTTTACACAGGGGTGCAAAGCATCCTTGTCTATTAATGTGAAGCTGATAACCTAACTATGACGACCAATGACGGCCTGTCTCGGTAATAGGCACTTATAATTATGTGACAAAAAAGCTGGAATTAATAGATAATCTATATAATTACGAAGACTAACAATCTCATATCAGGGTAAAAAAAATGATGACAATGCATCTACCCCCGGGTACTTGAGTGGTATCGGCGAATACTTGTGATGTAACCACAGTATGAAACATAACACTCTTGTCCAATTTTCCTATACTGTATTAAAAGTCGTTTAAGTGTTTTTCATAGTCATAATTACTGACGATTTTGGAGCTAACTTTAAAGCCCCTTTTTAATACATTTGTAGTTTAATGCATAGTGTCTCAAGTTCAAATCTAATGCTTGTCAACATTCATTTTCCCATTGAACATACAAATACAAGAAGCATACATCACGAAACTGTCATTTATGTGGAAAACTTTATTTTCTGTCACATCATTGATTACACTGATTGCTCTGTTGCATGTTGGCAGCAGTTAACTGTAACTTATGTTTAGAATAATGGTCGATTGAATAGACAAATCTAATATCTATACAACCAAGGAGCTTTCCTCACATTGATAAAACGATAAAACTATCATGATTCGATCCCTGTCAAAACTTAAAGATGCAAAACAAATATAGGCAATCAGTATGTATGTAATCAGCCTTATCAGACTCGATTTTGTTTGAAATTAGCCATTACTGACTTAATGGCCTGCTGCACTGCCCCTCATTTAATGGCCAGCTAACTCCCCTGGTCAGTAACATCCTTTCTTGGCTGATCTCCTCTGAGCCTGCAAAGGAGTCTGGTGGATACTACCAGGATCCCATCTCGAAGGCATCGACAAGAGGCAGTTGGCATCAGGACTGAATTTCTAGGCCAGGAGGGGGACCGCGTGTTGTTCCTTGGTGGATGTTTGTGCCAGTCAAGTGTCCAGCTGAATCCCTGACAAATAATATTACATAAATTATTATAATAAATATTCGTGCTAATTTAGTTTGAGCATTACATATGAACATGTCATGTCAGTATTGACCATGTCAACATTGCTGAAATTGTATCATATCATATCATATCATATCATATCATATCATATCATATCATATCATATCATATGAAATACCTGTATAACATATCTGCCACCTGTTTCCCTGGACTGAATTTGGTGATGTTTTCCCCATCTTTTCTCCTCTTGCCATTGATGTCATGTTATCTGATTCAACCCTAAGGAAAATAAGAAAAAGTGATGACTGTTCTATTCATGCTATTGTTTTTCTGACATTATAACGTTAACAGTAACGTTATATAGAAAGATCACATAAGCAGTTGTTAGATACTATTCATAATACACATTTATTGATTTAATAAGAATACAATCTCCAATCATGGAGGTAGAAGTTGAAACTTCTACCTCCATGCTCCAATACACATTGTATCTCTCATATATCTCTCCTGAATCAACCATGTCGAGCACTTGCACCAAACATGTTAGTCGTCCTTTACTCAGTTTTATTCCTTTGTACATTTTTGTATTACCCGAGCGGGTTTTCAGCTTTGACTGGTAGCCAGACCACCGGGCGCTCCCGGGTATGTTTACGGGGCTGGCAGTGCTGCCCTCCCACCCAGGCTATTCCGTACGCCCGGGGATTCTCACGGGGTTGGTTTCAGGGGCCGGTTGAACATATAGACTACCAGAAAAGCCCTATTCCTTCAAAGGAATTGGTTTTGTAGCAAACATTACTAAGCCTGATTTTCCTGCAAGCAAAGTACAACAGCCACAGGAGCGGGGGACGCTACGGGACTTTGCGCGGGCGAAGTCCGCCGCTGGTCCCGAGGACATAGCTCCTCTAACGCGGTGAATTTTTCGCCGTGAATTTCATCAAATTTATTTCCTAAAAGTCGTCCACTTGCACAGAATATGTTGGTCTTGACTAATTCAGTTGTCTGGCGTCTGTATTATCGAGTATTAAAAGGAGGCGCCTTGGTTTTAGCCCGGTAAACAGACCATCGGGTGCTCCCCGGCATCTCTACGGCGCTGGGAGTGCCCCCCTCCCGCCCAGGTTATTATTCCGTACGCCCGGGAATTCTCACGGGGTTGGTTTCAGGGGCAGGTTGAACATATAGACTACCAGAAAAGCCATATTCATATTCCTTCAAAGAAATTAGTTTTGTAGCAAGCATTTACTAAGCCTAATTTCCCTGGTTAAGACTGCAAGTAACGTGCAACAGCCACCGGAGCGGGGAACGCTACGGGACTTTTCGCGGGCGAAGTCCGCCGCTGGTCCCGAGGACATAGCTCCTCTGGCGCGGTGAATTTTTCGCCGTGAATTTCATGGAATTCATCACATAAAAGTCAGCCACTCGCACAGAATATGTTGGTCGTGGCTAATTCAGTTGTCTGGCGTCTGTATTATCGAGTATTAAAAGGATGCGCCTTGGTTTTAGCCTGGTAATCATGCCACGGGAGCTCCCCGGCATCTCTACGGCTCTGGGAGTGCCCCCCTCCCGTCAGGCACATTAAAGCACGTCGGGGCATTTTTACGGGGTCGGTTTCGATAATTTTAGCACGGCATTGAGCAGAAAGGCCGACTGGAAAGATAGGCTGCCAGGAAAAGACATATTCTTATAGCAATTGCCGGTGAAACACATTTAATTCGGCCCGTGAAAAAAGGTTACAAAGGCTAGATCAACTCAACACCGAGCCGAGCCGAGCCTCGTCTCCTTGGATTTTTAGCAGTTAAACTGACGCCAGACAAAGATACCTTGGATATTTAGAAAGATAAGAGTCTTCAGAACTTAAATCAATTCATAAAAGTTACCTGTATTGCATACTTTCTCCACTTTGCTCCAACAAACATCACGGTACGGTCCAGAAAACAATTCAATGGCTGCTATCCGTGCAGTCGATTATCAGACTGTATCGCATATTTTTCGCCACGTGTCAAAAATGCCGCCTGGCGGATTTTCATGGTACTTGTTGGTGGTAAAATTGCCAATATGAATTTACATTGTTTATTTAAGAGCGACCCCTAGCAGCTAATGATATTAGTGCTTCAAATTGAATAAACGTGCCAAAGCAGTTGACCAATCAGAAGAGACATTAGAAAACAACCTTTGGTCAAGAATCTATTGGACGTGCCTATTGGTCGGCTAAACAGCAGCCAATACATACAGTGCACTGATTAGTCAATTTGTTTGAACATCGGTTTAATACCGTATATTGCTTTCCCGAAAGTGCGCCGAACAACACACCCGTCCAACACCGCTGGAACAAAGTAGTTCCAGCAAACTGTCACAATTTCGTGTTAAAAACAGCTTAATATTTACCCTAAATATCATTTTTCATAAAGGAATATTTTTAAAATGTTAATTTTCAATACATCATTGAGTATTAACCACGATTATATATTTTTGCAATGTCGCGGATTGACTAAGTGTGCCTAAGTGTGCCAAGAGAAGTCCAACCAATTAGAAGAGACATTAGCAAACAACCTTTGGTTAAGAATCTATTGGACACACGTATTGGTCAATCAACAGCCAATACATACAGTGCACTAATTAGTCAATTTGTCTGAGCATCGGTTTAATACCGTATATTGTTTTCCCGAAAGTGCGCCGAACAACACACCCGTCCAACACCGCTGGAACAAAGTAGTCCCAGCAAACTATCACAATTTCGTGTTAAAAACAGCTTAATATTTACTCTAAATATCATTTTGCCATAAAAGAATATTTTTAAAATGTTAATTTTCTATAGATCATTGAGCATTAACCATAATTATATATTTTACGTTTACCGGGTTGCCCAAGAGGCCTTGGCGGGCGTGCACCACTCTCATCACCCAAGAAATTCCGGCAAGCTTACGATCGGCTTGCCCGGCTATGACAAGTTACTAGCAAACGTTCCTGTTTGAAACTATTCCCCCCCAAAACGCTTCCTCACCTTCCGGTATTTCGTAGGTGCAGACATTTAACCAAACGCCGTGCAGAAAGCTGCAAACAGTCGATAAACAGTGACCTTCTGCGAGTCAGTACCAGGGCCAGGCCCGGGGGACAGGCCGGTTCGTACTCGGCCTGCTAGCGGCAGTCTGACCGGCCAACGTATTATACGGCGCGGCGTGTCTGAGACCGTTGGACTGTCGGCGCGGACTTGAAGCCTAGGAGAGGGGGACACCTCAGTGTTTTATTAGTCCACATGTTACTGGGCGATGTCTGTGGCTTAATTCACCAGAAAAACAGAGAAGGCAACCCTGGAAGTGCGAGTCAGTACCAGGGCCAGGCCCGGGGTCTAGGCCGGGTCGTACTCGGCCAGCTAGCGGCAATCTGACCGGCCAACGATTCGGCGTATTCGCGGGCCGGCCTGGCCGCATCAGTTGGATTCTAGCGGGCTGGCGAAAAAGTACAGGGTACGGCACAGCTTGAAATTTTTGAGCGGGTACGGCCAGAATTTTTGAGCGGGTACGGCCAGAATTTCCGGGTACGGCTTGAAATTTTCGCGGGTACGGCCAGAATTTTTGACCGGGTACGGCTTGAATTTCCGGGTACAACTTGAAAGGAGTTTGATGGGGGTGAAGGAGAGGGGCACACATCAGTGTTTTATTAGTCCACATTACGGGATGCTGTTTGTGGCTAAAGTCCGCCAGAACAGAGGGAGGCAACCCTGGAAGTGCGAGTCAGTACCAGGGCCAGGCCCGGGGTCTAGGCCGGTTCGTACTCGGCCAGCTAGCGGCAATCTGACCGGCCAACGGTTCGGCGTATTCGCGGGCCGGCCTGGCCGCATCAGTTGGATTCTAGCGGGCTGGATGAACCACCCTAGCTCCACGGCATTGAACAGAGTTGAGGAAAATCACAATCTTTCAAACTATGCTTGTAAAATGACGACCGTTCATAAAGGCGACGACCGTTCATAAAGGCGACGACCGTTTGCAAAGGCGACGACCGTTCATATAAAGGCGACGACCGTTCATAAAGGCGACGTTGGGGAATATGGGGCTTTTTCTGCGTTCCAAGCAGGTGAGTTGGCTCCTTTTTCTGAAGTACATTTGCCACCAAGAATGTAAAATTTAAAAGTAAGCTCAATAATCTCTCATCTGCTTGGAGTAGACTCATTCAAAAGACATTACTTCATTCATTCACTCATTTCCTCACTCACTCACTAACAGGTGAGAGTTCACACCGAATTTTTGCGACCAAGTTTCGAGCTAGTCTTTCGTAAATAATGAATGAATGAATGAATGAAGACCTTTATTGTACGCAAATACCCACTGGGTTCAGTACAGGTCACAAAAAGACATCACAGTTTGCAATGAATATATACAATGTACAAGCTAGTGCTAATTCTATGTACTATGGACATATAGTCTAATAATTACGATAATTTGGCTTCTTCTCGCTTCTTAGTGATAATGTAGATATAGGTACAGATGTGTTTTATGATCGAAGGTTTGTCTAAAGCCATTAGAAATATGAACTTATCTGTGTTGCTAAGATGTATCAAATGGGGAAACATACATTGCAATAGTTTATAAAACTCAGCTCTGTCTTCGTTGTATAAACTACATTCTAATACAAAGTGTTCCTCATCCTCTATCCTATTTAGATTACAATGCTTACATATAATAATGATAAATGCGCATGATGAGTTTTTGTTTTTGAGAATCCTGAGCTTTCAAGTCAAAAAACGTTTTCGGCCACACGCTTGAAAATGATGTGGTCGTCATAGGCAGGAATAGGCCCATGTGCGGTCTCAAGTGGTGCCGGTTGCGGTCGCGTTAGACAAGTGGTCGGCGTAGGCAAGTCGCTTAATGCTTATATGGAGAAAATCGAGCGGTCGTTCTGGCCAGATGGTCGGCTTATAGAGGTGGTTGCTTGGGTACGTTTGACTGTATTCCTTCTGTACAGAATAGTGTGCAATTTATGGAAACACTAATGGAGATCCTAATAAACAAACAAACAAACAAACAAACAAACAAACAATAAGCAGTAATCATTTATTGCACAACAGGACTTACTCTGTAACAAGCATTGGCCATTGCCAAATCTTACAATAGCAAATTGTTGTTACATCATACAAAAGCGAATCCCTTACAATTTTGGCTAGTCTATATTATTCAAAAACATCTTGTCAATGATACCAATAATACATTTTACCGATTTGATGCCTTTCATGCGCAGATCTTTGTGTGAAGTGGTCATTCTGTCATTAATGGGAAACATGACTTTAGGTACTCTTTGAAGCAGAGGTTTAGGCTTCGGATTATTTTGACGTGTTTTAGGTGTTTTATCGGGCTGTCTTTTTTGTACTTGTATCTATTTTCTGGAGTATTGGATGCTGTTCCGCCAATGATACAGTCTTGCCATTTGAAGCTGTCTTGATACAGTGAACCAAAAGATCTGCTTGGAGATAGAAAGTTTTGGTTGGTGGGCTTAAATTGGGAAGAAATCACAACGGTAGACTCACAACCAGGAAGGTGACGGTCATCATACTAATGGGGAACAGATGACAGGGAAGATTATACCTTCAGCAAGGAGGTTATGTTTGGTCAGGTAACATGAGCTGTGACTGATCAGTTGTTGACAGAGTGATACAAAGACGCCCCCTGTTGGGGTCTCTGGCAATTGCAGGGGAGAAAATAGAAAGATGAATGTCTTTCATGCGGGCATTTTTGCTGTGAATTATTGTCGCTGGAAAGGAATTGAAGAATTAGCTGAGCCTGGGTGCCATCCGATTGGCTCCTTACACTCCCCTGGCCGGAAAAAAAGAGTGTAAGAGGCCCGTGAAATCAAATGGCACCAATCCTGGGATGCACTGGCCGAAAAAAAAAGAGAGCAAGTAGCTCGTAGCAAAATCAAATTAATGGCACCCACGTTAGAATTAGCTGTCAACTGCCTACAAAATCTCATTCCAGGGCCAGTCCTTGATCTGAGCTAGTTCCGGGCACACTGTCCTCTGGCTGCAGTGGTCCTGCGGCACCTTGATACACAACCTACTAGATTTTGGGGGAGGGTGTGTGTGTGCTAGAACGAATGAAAAGTCACTCCTCCAACTGCAGCTGTTCCAGATCGCCAGGAACATTCCCTTCCAACTGTGGCTGTCCCTGGTCTCTAGGCCCATTCCCTTCCAACTGTAGCTGCCCCAGGTCGCCTTGCACGATGGTTGCCATGTCGAAGCGAGCATGATCACCTGAACTGATAACATTACCAGACCCGTACACTAAGTTGAACGTTTGTTGGACCGTGTATCCAACAGCTCCTTGCTCCTCTTCGTCGCCATCTCTCCCGCCGTACAGGAGGTCATCGACGTCTTCTGAGAAGCCGAGGATGTCGTGATGGACGATTCTGTCCTCGGCTTTGGCCTTGTTGATCTGATCCCTGCTGTAGGAATAGATTTCTTCTCTGTGCTCCCTCAGTGCACGAGCGCTGAGCACCCTCTCCTTGGTAGCAGTGCCTGGGCTGACCTCGTCGAGCACGTTGTTCAGGATGATCTCAATCTTCCGGAGCATCTGCCGGCAGCTCGGCTTGTCGCCCTGCTCGCTTCGCACGCAGATGTTGACCGCACGGCCGTCTGGGGAGAGCTTGATGAGGCTTTCCACGTTGGAGTCGAAACACTTGGCTCCGTCTCTCCACAGCAGCGGGCGGTTCTTCAGTTCCCTCATCAGGCGGGTCTGCACACGGGGGAAGAACGCGGAAGAGAACATGTCGGTGGTATCGGCACACTGGACTTGCCTGCCGAAGTAGACGGTCTTGGCGGGGTTCTCAGTCTTCACCCACTTCTCTGGAGGCATGGTCTGTGTCAGCAGCCCGGGGATGATGAACTCTTGTCCGTCAAAGGTGTGGCAGAGCTGAAACTCTTGCAGCAGGGTGATCAGGAGATCCACATCGGCGACATCTTGGAACACGTTCTGGATTTCCTCTTTCGTGACGATGTCCTTGCTGGTTCTCAGATGTTGGATGGGGAAGTTTTCTGGAGCCATCACTTTGCCGAAGACATCTGTGCAGAGCCAGTTCGGCTTCAGGATAACGATGGGCTCCGCAGGTGTGGACACAAACAAGATCTGAAATCAGAGAGAGACGATTTTGTGACAAAGTTGCGAATCTTTGATCGTTTACGTGTTTTGATAATATGAATATTGCGTTGTTAGTTGGTTAAAAATGTCATATATTGCGTAAAACATTCTCATTTACATGGCGTAACAATGGTAAAAACAAGTATTGTAACTTAAGTTATTTTGCCTCTATATTTTTATACGTAACATATAGTCCATGAACAGTACATGTGCAGTAAAATGTTTGTTACTATTTACCTCTCCAAGGTGAGCCAAGTACTGCGAAGACGTCTTGAGAAAATCTTCATTGACCAGCTGCTCAATCCCCATCATCTCCATCACCGCCTCCTTGTACTCTGCCCATCTCAAGACAGGACACTTCGGGCTGCACTTCTCCTTGGCCCATGTTGGAAGGCACTTCATGATCTCGGCACACAGCTTGGGAATGGCTCGCTGATGCTACATAACGAAAATGGACAGTCAGGGCCATAACTGCCTTGCAATTGTTATTGAGAAATTTCACAAGGAATAACCACGGCACGTGGATTTGTGAAAAGATGATGTAGGTTTGGATAGTCAAATTGATACCAATGATCTGCGTGCTTATTTGACATGTTTTGAATCATTCTGCAAATCTAATGTATTAATTTTTTAAGTGTTATACATTCACATTGCATGCCCTATATTTTTTAACTACAGTAGGGATGTATGACGAAAAATACGGCCTCCGATTGAATCTAAATATTTTAGATGAAACACTAAAATTCAAAAAACTGTTACAACACGACTCACTTCCAGAAGCTTAGTCTTCAGTCTTGCCAGAAGGTCTTTAAGACGCCTCATGTCAGTTTTACGTGTCTTCCTGCAGTCGAGGAGAAACACTTCGTCTGAGATGTCCAGGTGATCCTTGAACGTTGACGTCATCAGCTGAAGGATGACAGATGCTTGTTGACGTCCTGTTGAAACAATCAATGTAGACCATGTATGTGGACGAGTGACTTAAAATGAAAAGACAAATTACAGAAAAGAAACTTCTACTTAAAAACTCTTATCTATATATCTAGCGAAATTTAACCAAGCATATCTTATCACTAGTCGCATGTACGCGTACCTGTATCAGTCTGGTCCCCATGACTGGCCACTAGGATGACGTAAGGCTTACTCTTCGTGTTGCAGGACTTGATGAAACACAGCCACCAGTGGACCTGTAAAGGAATGGTGAGTTTTTATCCAGTCGATCGTAGATGTATAAAGAACAGCACCATTCTCATGGATCTAGGTGACGTAATCACCTCTTTCTTCTGTGTTTCGGGGTCGACCATGATGTTGTATAGCACAATGAAGATGGTGTTCTCTGCATCCATGAACATGCTGTGGGTTACCGCGTACTCCGACTGTCCAGCGAAGTCCCACACACTGACCTGCCCCACACCGGGAATCTTGGTTGCTCCCACATTCACACCTGGGGTGGGCTCGTGTGGCTGATCGTCTGGAGTCATTCGATCTCTGAAGATGGCGACGAAAGATCCCTACAGGGAATTGTGAAATATCTAGTGAGAAAATTTCCAGTGCTATCGATGGAGGAAGTCATGTTTTACATGGATGTGTGATTCTCTGTAAAAAGTGGAATAGTACTAATTGGAATGAAATTCTAGTATAAAATCGTACCGTTTGCAGAGTTTCCACCAGAGTAGATTTGCCAGCTTCCTGTGGTCCACAGAAGCACAGTTTAATCCTGTCGACTTTCACCCCACCGGACTGTTCCATCAGTTTGTGGTAGGAAACTTCAACAGCCACCTCATCAGCCAGTTTCTGGGTGAGCGATGTAAACACTCAACTTGCATCATCAAAGAATTCAACCTTTCTGATAAGGGCCTTTAGCCGGGCAAAAGTATAGGCACCCATTCATTCATAATCGCGGATCAAATGTGATGACAAAATAACAGGGAGATTTCTTGTCTGCAGTAGCTCTAAAAGCGGTGGGCAACATGTTGGAGACTATGATATACAGCCAGCTGTGCAGGATATCAGTAAAACAATTTACTCACCTTTAGGAAACGTCTGCGGTCTTGGTCACGCACGAAGTCCAGTGGTGTACTCCCATTCTGTGTACGAGGAATAAAGCGTAAATTTTCACAATTTTTTGTTCCTATCCTTACTAGTTGTTTACGAAAAGCGATATTATATCTATTACTGCGTGGCGTAATGGAGATAGAGAAAGGTAAGCCGTTTAATATCAAGGTCTTAAATATAGCATACTTCGTGATAGCATGTAACAAGCTATTCATACCACATTCTGCCTAAGATAGCTAGGATAGTGTGTATCTCAGTTAAAAGTACTGGGCACGTGTAATTTTTCCCACTTGGCAGAAGTTAAGGGAAAGTTGTGGAATCAATTTGAGCTTTTAATCTAAGACAGCAACGTCTTCATGATTTTCCTAGGAACTGGAACTTTTCACCAAGTGAGCAAGTTGACCCCCTGGTATGACTAATTGTCACTAAAAGCCAAGATTAATATACATATATGTCTCAACAATCATTTGTTACACTTTAACCCTAAGTACATGAGATGATTGTCTGTACTTACGTTGTTCCTCGCCCCCACATCAGCGCCATGTTGAATCAGCAGCTCCACTATCTCAGTCTGCCCGTTCCCGCTGGGCACATGGAGTGCGGTCTCGCCAAACTGTGTAAACACACAGAGAAACTAGAAAGCTGCTGCACATTGGTGGATTCAAACAGACTCTCAAGGACAGCAAGATAGAATTTCCAGTTAAGATGTAAGTGCTTTTACAATTGACAATCATGTATTTTTGAAAACGTACCTGTAAACACATTATGCCAATATTTGCAAAGCCTAATACGTAATAACTTGTATGAGAGTTAGAGAGTTAGTAATAATCATCTCCCGCCGTGGCTAATGGGTCCCAATAGTAAAAAATCAGAGAATATTTTCAATATTTCTCAGCAATTAATAATTACCTCTTAATAATCCCAACTACATTGATTCCTAACTACATGAGATGATTGTCTGTACTCACCTTGTTCTTCGCCTCCAGATCAGCGCCATGTTGAACCAGCAGCTCCACTACCCCAGTCTGCCCGTACTCGCTGGCCACATGGAGCGCGGTCCTGCCATCCTGTGTAAACACACGGAGAAACTAGAAAGCTGCTGCACGTTGGTGGATTCAACCAGACTCTCAAGGACAGCCATGTAGAATTTTCAGTGGAAAGAGGAAAGTGCCTTTACAGTTGATAGTTACATATCATGAGTAAAGTTAACTTGTAAAACATTATTATATGGCTATCAAACATTGTAAAGCCTGGACTGAAAACCGCAATCTCCTTTGCCACTTGCGTGAAACGCATCGTTATAGTTTTCGTAGATAGTTTAAACTTCCTGTTAAACTTCAACCCTTACGGCAAAAACATCAGAGAATATTTTTTAGTAAAGTAGATATTTCTCAACCATCATTAATGATCCTTTGATCCTAACTACATGAGACGATTGTCTGTCCTTACCTTGTCCCTCGCCCCCACATCAGCGCCATGTTGAATCAGCAGCTCCACTACCCCAGTCTGCCCGGTCCCGCTGGCCACATGGAGTGCGGTCCTGCCATTCTGTGTGAACACACGGAGAAACTAGAAAGCTGCTGCACATTGGTGGATTCGAACATAACCTCAAGGACAGTAAGATACAATTTCCAGTTTATAAATAAAGTTCTTAACAGTTGATGATTATGTACCTTGAGCAAATTTACCTGTAAGAAAACATTATGGATATCAATTATTTCAAAGCATATAAATGTTAAGGCGGAATTACATGAGATGTATTGTTACAATTTTCATTCAAATCTTCAAAATAAATATCTCTTGCATGTGGCTAATGGGCCACAATAGTTAGGATATCATACATCATAATCATTTGAATATTCTGAGGATAGTAGATACTTCTCAACAATCATTGATTTTCCCTTAATCCAAACTGCATGAGATGGTTGTACTTACCTCGCTCCTCGCCTCCAGATCAGCGCCATGTTGAACCAGCAGCTTCACTACCCCAGTCTGCCCGTACACGATGGCCAGATGGAGTGCGGTCAAGCCATCCTGTGTAAACACACGGAGAGAACTATAAGGCTGATGCAAATCGGCGGATCTAAACAGATCATGATCAGCAAGATATCTATGAATGCATGATTTTAATGACGGTAATGAAAGAACAGCGCGCTTCTAAAAACACTCAAATGCCCATATTGAGCGACATGACTGTAATGCAGATGACGAACAGTAACGTCAATTACTCTCTCTTTGCCGAAACATCTATTTGTGAAATATTTTCTTGTTGAATCACACTAAGGTCCAAGAATCACAATGACTTGCATATACATGTTGTTCTTGGTAGGAGATTAAATGGATACAGCGATTGACACGTTCGAACACTTAAGACTCCTCCATCTCAATACACTGAGCATCTGTACCACAATGGCGGCTTATCATTACGTCACTACATATAATGATGAGTCGGAAAAAATGCCCAAATCGCATGACATGATTGTCTATACTTACTTACTCATACCTGCGCCCAATGAAAGATCATACCATATTCAGTGTATGAAATACGAGCTGCAGAGCAAATCACTGGAAACGCCAACCTTCCAAACCAAAAACGTTCATAAGCTGCAGTTACCCATGGCCATTGAAACTTCTGATTGACGTCCCACCCGGCCTGAAGACCCTTCCTCACGGCCTGCACGTCTCCCTCCATCACAGCCCTCACAAACTCGTCCTCGTCCATGGAAGGTCCTTATTCCGGACACCTGTTATGTAACAGTAATAAATACTTTTACTTTTCTAATTTTTCTTTTGTTTACTTAAATTTTTTGCTGACATCTCTGCTTATTTCGCATACCTTCTTCCGGACACCTGTTATGTAACATTAACAAATACTTTTATTTTTAATTTCTAAAATTTGTTGCTGACATCTCTCTGCTTATTTCGTAAACCATGATTGCTAAAAGCAGGTTTATTCCTCTGATCCATTTGCCCTGAGTTGATCGTAGTATGGTACTAGTACTCCAAATTGCGGGATTGTTACGCAAACAAAGTAAAACTCACCTGCACTCCTCTCAATGATTAACAAACAGAAGCCAATTGGATTTTATCGATCGGGCAAGTTAAATTCTTTTGTATACCAAATCATTCTACAGTTTCAGGCAAGGTACTCGATGGCCCATACTGTTAATTCTTCCCGAGCACAAGAGAATTTTGACCTACCATCCAAAATACCTGACCCTAGCATGTCCAGATCGCCGTATATCAAAACCGGAAGTTCCGATGCAGTACAGTCAGGGTCACAAACACCCACCTCCCAAGTTTCACGACAATCCATTTAAAGCTCCTTGATTTATCGTGCTGAAGCACATACACGCAAACGCTAAGGAAAGCAAAACCTTTTGGGCGAAGGAAAATTTGTCATTGACCCCAAAATGACTTCTTTCCCGCTGCTGTGGCGTAGTTACTTCCGCATACGTATCATACGTATATATATGTATACGTATATGTATATATATCATATATATACAGCACAGCAGGAAAGGAGTTTTAACAACGTCGTCCCTCAGAAACGCACATAACAACGCCACCAGTCGTTCATACCTATTACGCCATAAGGAGAAGAGTTGAGGGAAGGGCTAGGGAGGGGGGCCCTATGAAACATGAAACAGCAGGGACTCAACCCTCAGTGTACATAGACATTTCCTATACACATACCTCTAGCCTGATTAAATCGCTTTACGGTTGCCGACCCCCTTCGGGGAGGGGCCAATAAAGCCGCGGACGACAGAGTTTGCGTTACACAGACTTCGTTACCTCGTGTTTCTTAACCTCTGATTTCATGCTGATAATATTAAAAAAAGACACAAAGTTCTCAATGTTCGCAACAACTCAAGCTCATTAGGGTATTAGGCAAGACACAAACCATGGTATTTGTACGACAAATTGTACTAAAACATCCAAACTACCTGCACAAATTACACTGTAAATCTTACCTCTACTTCAGCCTACTCGAAGGGTAAAACGGGCGAGATCTAACATCTGGCGCGTCTGTCCTAAAATGGCGGTCTGGTAGTTCCGCTTTTACGGTCAGTGAACCTGTGCTTCTTGTTGACTGTGAGGGACAGGTGAAAGACGACCCGCTTGTTTTGTTTACATAAGAAAGGTTGGCTGTCAGTCGGTAGTGACAAAAGGCGTTTGGGGGGACTTAAAATGTGTTGCTTAAGCGCGTAGCCGATATCAAGTCATGAAACGCGTCGATTGTCTGTGCGAAGAAGCTGACTTAAAAGCTCTTGGTAATCTGTCGTATTTATCCTCTGTATCTGTATAGCCGGTATAACCGCATTTCGGCGTAACACACCAGCTTCGCAGGCACGCGGCGCGGCGGCAGTTGGCTACATTGCACCGATCGACCTAACCCTTGAACATCTAACTCTAGACTTTGTTATCTAGTGACAATGTCTCTACTGTACTTGGTGACAGCGAGTTCCACTCGTTAATCCTATTAGGTAACAAGAGGAGGACTAAGCAGGTTTTTATCTTGAAGATGTTCTCCAACTCAACTACTCTCCAAGCAGAGGTAGGGTTTTGGGGTATTTTTAGCGTGTTTTTAGGCTTTTTTTATCGGGGTTTCTTTTTTGCACTGAATTATTTTTCCACACAACCCAGAAAACAAATTCTGTGCAAAAAAGGTAAAACAGCCTAAAAACACGCTAAAAACACGATAAAAAGCCTAAAAACACGCTAAAAATACCCCAAAACCCTACCTCTGCTTGGAGAGTACAACTCAACTGCGAAAATAACTCACCAGAAAGTTTCGGCTGAATCGCTCAGTCTTCATCAGCTTTATGACCCACGTGCTGTGGACACGTGACTTTCAGCCGCGTGTGACGTCAGCACTGGGTCAAAGTTCGTCTAAAGTTGGTACCGCCCCACCGTCACGGTTGAGCGAAGGTTAGTATGCCCTGATGTAGATGGCTCCCGTCGCAAAGTAATCCTTTTGGTCAATAGATGTTTTGAAAGTCTTTGGGTGGAAGGAAACCTTGGTTTGTCAGACACGTCGGCGGATTGTGCTGCGCCTGCGCGAAAACCGTAATGTATTGTGCCTAGTAAGTCCTGTCTTTTAAGGTCGTATTTGCGAATTCAGGGACCGTCTTTAGTTTGAAATGCTGTGCTGACGAAGACATCATTCTGATGCAACGTTGACTAACGCCTAACGCGCTCGAGAGTCAGGTGACGAAGATGCAAGGCGCTTCGCGGCGGTCTTCCTTAGTCTCCACCAGGCGCCTTTGCAGTCTGAAAAATAATAGATGGCCGGCCATCGAGGGTCCATTTTTTTATACGCAGACTGAACCCTCTATGACCGGCCATCTCCCCTAGCCAGCTACATTCTATACTATTTATTCAGCCAGCAAAGTCGTCTTGTGGAGACTAGGTCTTCCTGAGCTGTGTGGAATTCTCCCCAGCTGCAGCGTCTGATTCGCTGTAATCAAGGTTCTGCCGCCATGTCAGCTGTAGCCGTTTATCCCCCTGAGCTGCCCATATATTTTCCCATCCATAGTCACCCACACAGGAGAAAAGGGTTTGTTGTCTTTTCCATCTGCCTGGATTGTGCTAATAGATAATAAAGATCTGCTAGACAGATCTGGTCTCATCGAGACGACATGGCCAGCTTCATTTCTAACACCTTTCAAGATTCGTCTGGCATCATAGACTTTCCTTCTGGCCAGGAAAGTAGCAAACTTGATTATTACAAGTCGACCAGTTCCCTTCCCAAAATAGTGAATGTTACCGATGTCCCCCTCAGTGACATTGACTTTCAGAGTTGATGCAGCAAACTCCAAGAACTTTCCCAGGAGATCCTTATCCTTATAGTTACATGGGAGTCCCCAGACGCGTAGGCAGTTTTTGCGTGAATATTGGTCAGCGTGGAATTGTCGCGCTTCTAGTGCCACAATTTTACCTTGTAGTTCCGCGACGAGGCGACTTTGCTCTATACAAAATTGTCATCATGTGAACTCAAAATGTCTCCCATCCGATCTATGTCAGATTTCATGGCATTCATTTTGTCATTTAGTTTGGAAAAGCTGGAAGAGTTCTCAGTCTTGATTTCATCTAATTTGATTAGCAGCGCCTCCATATTCACAGTGTGTATGACCCGAACAGAGAACAATAAGAAGTCACCTACCATTGCAGATGCGCAGAAATATCTTGCACATGACGATTATGTGAGGTGTTGGAAGATCCTCGATAAGACCTGTACCACACAGACTCACACACGACGGACGCTAGAAGGAGTAATGGCGCATCGCGTCTCGTAGGTCAGCTGCCGCCATTTCAAGCTTCACAGTCCTCCAATTTCCGACGCCGCCGAGAGTTTATACCGAGGCTACACCGGTAGAACAGAAGTTTGATACCTCCAGAATTAAGCTGTTCAACGTCTGGCCCTCACTGGGGATTTCTGGGCGACTTACTAACGAAAGAAACAGTAAGCTGTAACCCGGGCACTACAAAGGGGGGTCTACATGTCCGCCATCTTGGAAAATCGTCATGTAGTTCTTTCTCTAGTGTGCAATCTATGTAATACTAATGGAAAACAAACAAACAAACAAACAACCAAACAAACAATAAGCAGTAATCATCTATTGCACAACAAGACATACTCTGTAATTAGCATTGGCCATCGCCAAATCTCACAACAGCAAATGGTTGTTACATCATACAAAGGAGAATCCCTTACATACAATTTCAGCTTGTCTATTTTCTTAAAAAAATCTCATGTAATGATACCAATAATACATTTTACCGATTTGATGCCTTTCACGCGCAGATCTTTGTGTGAAGTGGTCCTTCTGTCATTAATGGGAACATGACTTTAGGTACTCTCTGAAGCAGAGGTTTAGGCTTCGGATTATTTTGACGTGTTTTAGGTGTTTTATCGGGTTTTAGGTCTTTTTTGTACTGGTATCTATTTTCTGGAGTATTGGATACTGTTCCGCCAATGATACAGTCTTGCCATTTGAAGCTGTCTTGATACAGTAAACCAAAAGATCTTCTTAGAGATTAGAAAGTTTTGGTTGGTGGGCTTACATTGGGAAGAAATCACAACGGTAGATCCATAACCAGGAAGGTGACGGTCATCATACTAATGGCGAACAGATGAGCCTGGGTGCCATCCGATAGGCTCCTTACACTCCCCTGGCCGAAAAAAAGTGTAAGAAGCCCGTGAAATCAAATGGCACCAATCCTGGGATGCACTGGCCGAAAAAAAGAGAGCAAGTAGCTCATAGCAAAATCAAATTAATGGCACCCACGTTAGAATTAGCTGTCAACTGCCTACAAAATGTCATTCCAGGGCCAGTCCTTGATCTGAGCTAGTTTCGGGCACACCGTCCTCTGGCTGCAGTGGTCCTGCGGCACCTTGATACACAGCCTACTGGATTTTGGGGGAGGGTGTGTGTGTGCTAGAACGAATGAAAAGTTACTCCTCCAACTGCAGCTGTTCCAGATCGCCAGGAACATTCCCTTCCAACTGTGGCTGTCCCTGGTCTCTAGGCCCATTCCCTTCCAACTGTAGCTGCCCCAGGTCGCCTTGCACGATGGTTGCCATGTCGAAGTGAGCATGGTCACCTGAACTGATAACATTACCAGACCCGTACACTAAGTTCAACGTTTGTTGGACCGTGTATCCAACAGCTCCTTGCTCCTCTTCATCGCCATCTCTCCCGCCGTACAGGAGGTCATCGACGTCTTCTGAGAAGCCGAGGATGTCGTGAAGGGCGATGCCGTCCTCTTCTTTGGCCATGTTGATCTGGTCCATGCTGTAGGAGTAGAACTCTTCTCTGTGCTCCCTCAGTGCACGAGCGCTGAGCACCCTCTCCTTGGTAGCAGTGCCTGGGCTGACCTCGTCGAGCACGTTGTTCAGGATGACCTCAATCTTCCGGAGCATCTGCCGGCAGCTCGGCTTGTCGCCCTGCTCGCTTCGCACGCAGATGTTGACCGCACGGCCGTCTGGGGAGAGCTTGATGAGGCTTTCCACGTTGGAGTCGAAACACTTGGCTCCGTCTCTCCACAGCAGGGGGCGGTTCTTCAGTTCCCTCATCAGGCGGGTCTGCACACGGGGGAAGAACGCGGAGGAGAACATGTCGGTGGTGTCGGCACACTGGACTTGCCTGCCGAAGTAGACGGTCTTGGCGGGGTTCTCAGTCTTCACCCACTTCTCTGGAGGCATGGTCTGTGTCAGCAGCCCGGGGATGACGAACTCTTGTCCGTCAAAGGTGTGGCAGAGCTGGAACTCTTGCAGCAGGGTGATCAGGAGATCCACATCGGCGACATCATGGAACACCCTCTGGATTTCCTCTTTCGTGACGATGTCCTTGCTTGTTCTCAGATGTTGGATGGGGAAGTTTTCTGGAGCCATCACTTTGCCGAAGACATCTGTGCAGAGCCAGTTCGGCTTCAGGATAACGATGGGCTCCGCAGGTGTGGACACAAACAAGATCTGAAATCAGAGAGAGACGATTTTGTGACAAAGTTTCGAATCTTTTATCGTTTACGTGTTATGATAATATGAATATTGCTTTGTTAGTTGGTTAAAAATGTCATATATTGCGTAGAACATTCTCATTTACATGGCGTAACAATGGTAAAAACAAGTATTGTAACTTAAGTTATTTTGCCTCTATATTTTTATACGTAACATATAGTCCATGAACAGTAATATGTGCAGTAATATGTTTGTTATTATTTACCTCTCCAAGGTGAGCCAAGTACTGCGAAGACGTCTTGAGAAAATCTTCATTGGCCAGCTGGTCAACCCCCATCATCTCCATCACCGCCTCCTTGTACTCTGCCCATCTCAAGACAGGACACTTCGGGCTGCACTTCTCCTTGGCCCATGTTGGAAGGCACTTCATGATCTCGGCACACAGCTTGGGAATGGCTCGCTGATGCTACATAACGAAAATGGACAGTCAGGGCCATAACTGCCTTGCAATTGTTATTGAGAAATTTCACAAGGAATAACCACGGCACGTGGATTTGTGAAAAGATGATGTAGGTTTGGATAGTCAAAGTGATACCAATGATCTGCGTGCTTATTTGACATGTTTTGAATCATTCTGCAAATCTGATGTATTAATTTTTTAAGTGTTATACATTCACATTGCATGCCCTATATTTTTTAACTACAGTAGGGATGTATGACGAAAAATACGGCCTCCGATTGAATCTAAATATTTTAGATGAAACACTAAAAATTCAAAAACTGTTACAACACGACTCACTTCCAGAAGCTTAGTCTTAAGTCTTGCCAGAAGGTCTTTAAGACGCCTCATGTCAGTTTTACGTGTCTTCCTGCAGTCGAGGAGAAACACTTCGCCTGAGATGTTCAGGTGATCCTTGAACGTTGACGTCATCAGCTGAAGGATGACAGATGCTTGTTGACGTCCTGTTGAAAACAATCAATGTAGACCATGTATGTGGACGAGTGACTTAAAATGAAAAGACAAATTACAGAAAAGAAACTTCTACTTAAAAACTCTTATCTATATATCTAGCGAAATTTAACCAAGCATATCTTATCACTAGTCGCATGTACGCGTACCTGTATCAGTCTGGTCCCCATGACTGGCCACTAGGATGACGTAAGGCTTACTCTTCGTGTTGCAGGACTTGATGAAACACAGCCACCAGTGGACCTGTAAAGGAATGGTGAGTTTTTATCCAGTCGATCGTAGATGTATAAAGAACAATACCATTCTCATGGATCTAGTTGATGTAATCACCTCTTTCTTCTGTGTTTCGGGGTCGACCATGATGTTGTAGAGCACAATGAAGATGGTGTTCTCTGCGTCCATGAACATGCTGTGGGTTACCGCGTACTCCGACTGTCCAGCGAAGTCCCACACACTGACCTGCCCCACACCGGGAATGTTGGTTGCTCCCACATTCACACCTGGGGTGGGCTCGTGTGGCTGATCGTCTGGAGTCATTCGATCTCTGAAGATGGCGACGAAAGATCCCTGCAGGGAATTGTGAAATATCTAGTGAGAAAATTTCCAGTGCTATCGATGGAGGAAGTCATGTTTTACATGGATGTGTGATTCTCTGTAAAAAGTGGAATAGTTCTAATTGGAATGAAATTCTAGTATAAAATCGTACCGTTTGCAGACTCTCCACCAGAGTAGACTTGCCAGCTTCCTGTGGTCCACAGAGGCACAGTTTAATCCTGTCCACTTTCACCCCACCGGACTGTTCCATCAGTTTGTGGTAGGAAACTTCAACAGCCACCTCATCAGCCAGTTTCTGGGTGAGCGATGTAAACACTCAACTTGCATCATCAAAGAATTCAACCTTTCTGATAAGGGCCTTTAGCCGGGCAAAAGTATAGGCACCCATTCATTCATAATAGCGGATCAAATGTGATGACAAAATAACAGGAAGATTTCTTGTCTGTAGTAGCTCTGAATGCGGTGGGAAACATGTTGGAGACTATGATATACAGCGGTGCAGGATAAAACCATTTACTCACCTTTAGGAAACGTCGGCGGTCTTGGTCACGCACGTAGTCCAGTGGTGTTGTCCCAAACTGTGTGTGCGGAATAAAGCGTAACTTTGCACAATGTTTTGTTCCTATCCTTACTAGTTTGTTGTTTATAAAAAGCGATATTATGTCTATTACTGCGTGGCGTAATGGAGATAGAGAAAGGTAAGCCGTTTAATTTCAAGGCCTTAAATATAGCATACTTCATGCTACTCCCACCACATACTGCCTAAGATAGCTAGGATAGTGTGTGTCTTAGTTATTAAAGGTACTGGGCACGTGTAATTTTTCCCACTTGGCAGAAGTCAAGGGAAAGTTGTGGAGTTAATTTGAGCTTTTAATTTAAGACAGCAGCATCTTCATGATTTTCCTAGGAACTGGAACTTTAAGTGATCAAGTTGGCCCCCTGTTATAACTTTCTGTCCCTAAAGGCCAAGATTAATATATATGTCTCAACAATCATTTGTTACACTTTAACCCTAAGTACATGAGATGATTGTCTGTACTTACCTTGTCCCTCGCCGTCACATCAGCGCCATGTTGAATCAGCAGCTCCACTACCCCAGTCCGCCCGTTCAAGCTGGCCAGATGGAGTGCGGTCACGCCATTCTGTGTAAACACACTGAGAAACTAGAAAGCTGCTGTATATCGGTTGATTCAAACAGACCCTCAAGGACAGCAAGATAAAATTTCCAGTTAATAAGTAAAGTTCTTAACAGTTGATAATTATGTACCTTGAGCAAATATACCTGTAAGAAAACATTATGGATATCAATTATTGCAAAGCATAAATGTTAAGGCGGAATTACATGAGATGTATTCTAACAATTTTCATTCAAATCTTCAAAATAAATATCTCTTGCATGTGGCTAATGGGCCACAATAGTTAGGATATTATACATCATAATCATTTGAATATTCTGATCATAGTAGATACTTCTCAACAATCATTGATTTTCCCTTAATCCAAACTGCATGAGATGGTTGTCTGTACTTACCTCGCTCCTCGCCTCCAGATCAGCGCCATGTTGAATCAGCAGCTTCACTATCCCAGTCTGCCCGTACTCGCTGGCCAGATGGAGTGCGGTCTGGCCATCCTGTGTAAACACACGGAGACACTAGAAAACTGCTGCATATCGGTGGATTCAAACAGACTCTCAAGGACAGCCATGTAGAATTTTCAGTGGAAAGAGGAAAGTGCTTTTACAGTTGACAGTTACATATCATGAGTAAAGTTTACCTGTAAAACATTATTATATGACTATCAAACATTGTAAAGCCTGGATTAAAAACCGCAATCTCCTTTGCCACTTGCGTGAAACGCATCGTTATAGTTTTCGTAGATAGTTTAAACCTTCCTGTTAAACTTCAACCCTTACGGCATAAAAGCCAATACATCAGTGAATATTCTCAGTAAAGTAGATCTTTCTCAACCATCATTAATGATCCTTTGATCCGAACTATATGAGATGATTGCCTGTATTTACCTTGTACCTCGCCTCCAGATCAGCGCCATGTTGAATCAGCAGCTCCACTACCCCAGTCTGCCCGTACTTGCTGGCCCAATGGAGTGCGGTCCTGTCATTCTGTGTAAAAACAAGAGGAAACTAGAAAGCTGCTGCACATTGTTGAATTCAAACAGACTCTCAAGGACAGCCATGTAGAATTTTCAGTGGAAAGAGGAAAGTGCTTTTTACAGTTGACAGCTACATATCATGAGTTAAGTCTACTTGTAAAACATTATTATATGTCTATCAAACACTGTAAAGCCTGGATTAAAAACCGCAATCTCCTTTGCCACTTGCGTGAAACGCATCGTTATAGTTTTCGTAGATAGTTTAAACTTCCTATTAAACTTCACCCCTTACGTCCTAAAAAGCCAAAAAAATCAGATAATATTCTAAGTAGATATTTCTCAACCATCATTAATGATCCTTTGATCCGAACTACACGAGATGGTTGTCTGTACTTACCGTGTCCCTCGCCTCCAGATCAGCGCCATGTTGAATCAGCAGCTCCGCTACCCCAGTCTGCCCGCGCAAGCTGGCCCAATGGAGCGCGGTGCAGCCATCCTGTGTAACAACATGAAGAAACCATAAGGATGCTGCAAACCGGCGGATCCAAACAGATCAAGGTCAGTAGGAATTCTATGACTAAATGATTTTAAAATTGACGGTAAATCGCAAGATGAAATTGAACGGCATGACTTCGTTCGGATGTATTCAGATTTCGTTATTAAGAGGAACGTTGCTAATAGCTGTGTAAACACACGGAAAAACTAGAAATCTGCTGCACATTGTGGAGAATTCAAACAGGCCCTCAAGGACAGAATTTCCAGATTAAGAGGAAAGTGTTTTATTCCTGTTTTAAGTTATATATCATAAGCAAAGTTTACCATTATGGCTAATGTTACAGTCTGAATTTAAAGCCGCAATTGCTTTGTTACTTGTATATTAAATACATAGTTATAATTGCCCAGTTAAAAACCTCCTACTAAAAACCCTGTCGTGGCTAATGGGCCACGATAGTAAAGAAATCATAGAATATCCACAGGATAGAAGATATTTATCAACAATGATTATTGGTCCCTTAATTCTAACTACATGAGATGATTGTCTGTACTTACGTTGTTCCCCGCCCGCACATCAGCGCCATGTTGAATCAGCAGCTCCACTACCCCAGTCTGCCCGTTCCTGCTGGCCAGATGGAGCGCGGTCCAGCCAACCTGTGTAACAACATGAAGAAACCATAAGGATGCTGCAAACCGGCGGATCTAAACAGATCAAGGTCAGATCAAGGCCTTGGACCCTCTTGGAAATCAACAGTTTACTGTTGAAGAGGCCGCCCAGGTGTTTATAATATGAAATAAATAAATAAATAAAAGTAGGAATTCTATGACTAAATTATTTTACAATTGACGGTAAATCGCAAGATGAAATTGGACGACATGACTTCGGATGTATTCAGATGTCGTTAAGAGGAACGTTACTATTAGCCTTATGAATGTTTTACACTGTACTTTGCCGCATTTATTTGTGAAAGTGTGTAGCTTACTGAATCAGATACATCTTCTTTACGAATCGCAGTTTAATCCAAGATCCACATTGCATGCATGTTGTTCTTGATCGGAGATTTAATGGATACAGCTTGCACGAGCGATTGAAACATACGACGTTAGAGCACATTAGATGTGAAAAAGCATGCGATACTGACAACAATTCGGTATATGGAATACGAGCTACACAACAAAACAATAGAAACGCCAACTTTCCAAACCTAAACTAAACCGCTCATACACGTAAGCTGTATTTACCCAAAACCCAAAACGTTTATAATAATCGAAAGTTTATTGCAAATTCATGCCCGAGGGCTAATTGCAAGAACATAATAACAACAGTGAACAGTAGAATGATAATAAGTGATGCTAATGCTACTTTATATATACATTTGTAATTATTGTTGGGTTTGAATTCTTTTCCGTGTGCAGTGGAGTATGAAATGGCCGACATTTTGCGATATATATGAATTGGGAGGTGTTAATAGAAATGCAGTTTTTTGTAGGCTGGGAAGGTGAATAAAGCTTATATAAGCTGTAGTTACCAATAACCACTGATTGAAGTCCCTCCCTGCCTGAAGACCCCTCCTCACGGTCTCCACGTCTCCCTCCTGCACAGCCCACCTAAACTCGTAATCATCCATGGCAGGTCGGTACTCCGGACACCTGATGTGTAGAAGTGATAAAACCTTTACTGCGGACATCTTTCATCATTTCATAAACATTGATTGGAAAAAAGTCTTCCTTCGATCCATTTGCGATGAGTTGATACTCTTCTGTGTACGTTAGTACAAGTCATGTGATGTTTTACAGACAGATTACAGGGACAAATGAACTTTGAAACATCATAAACATCAATGTCTAAACCCTCTAGACATTATTGGTGATTTCGTGTCAACAAAGCCGACTGTGTTACGCAAACAACGTAAATGTCACCTGCATCGCTCCTAATGACAAATAAACATAAGCAGGCCAGTTAAGTTATTTCGTATACCGTTCCTTCTTTCGACGTATTTGTACAAATAATTCAGTATTAGTCTGTGAGAGAAATATTTTGTAGGCATAGGGTGTCTTCAGAGTCGTCAGCAGGAATTATCGTCGGGTTTGGTAAATCGACTGTACATTTTACTGAGACATTGTGTAAGTATTAGCAATAACAAGCATTGGGGGTCCCGGTCAGTGACCAACAATTGGCAGCTACATTCAAAACGGCTGTTGTATATGTTATGCAGGGCCAGATAACTCCGGCGTCACGTGCACTTTGACCAGTCTAAGTACCTACATAGCGTTTCATTGGTGGTCGCAAAATACTCGTACGAGGCGTGGCATTCTTGAGCATACATGTAAGTTGGATTTATTTATTAAATCCAGACTCCCTGCCCATTAAGTCGTCGTTTACCTGTACAGTTGTCAGTGTAGTCACTTGAGTAAATGTGCTTTATTTTGAATTCGTCGTACAACAACACTGTATTTGTGGTATGATTATCGTGTAGGTTATTTCACCTTAGCGGTGGTTTTATCTAACTGTATGGGGAAAGGCGACTTTTGTGGTTTCAATGCTTACGCATTATGAAAGAACTCTGTATACACAAAGCTATTAAACACATACACATATTCACGGCGCGAAAGTTTCTGCATTTGCAGTATCATTGAACCGACCGTGGGTAAATAACCGGCAGTAACCTTTGCACCGTCACAAGACGGCTGAACTCTGTTCGACGCCTCCACAATTTGTCCCAATATTGTCCTCAATTTGTAGCCTGGGTGCCAGACTAATAAACTGGTGGACCTCCCAATAGTTCATTACTAAGTACCTACATGTAATACCCTCAGAGGAGAACAAGAAATAGCCATATGCATGCCTTCAAGAACCAGAGTTATCAACCGAGGATTGAGGTGTTCAAGAATTCATTCTTTCCTAGAACTATCGCAGAGTGGAACTCGCTGTCACCAAGTACAGTAGGGGCATTGTCATTAGATAGCTTTAAACAATGTTTCGAGTAAGAAGTTCAAGGGTTAGGTGTAACAGGTCGATCAGTGTAATATAGCCAGCTGCCGCCGCGCCGCGTGCCTGTGAAGCTGGTGTACATGTGTTACGTCGAAGGCCAGTTATACCGGTACAGATACAGAACCATAGCACACTGGACACAAAGTATCTTTGTGTACAATTTGCTGTGAGAAAAACAGCTGCACACCTAGCGGGCGACTGTGAACAGGCCTTGATAATCAACGTACCGACTATACAACCACTATCTATATACAACTGTTTAGGAATAGTGGCTATGATACTTATAGTTCACGGCGCTTGGTGGACCTGATTAGATAGCACAATGTATTTAACCAGTATTTGAAAAAGAGCGCAAAAGACGAATTAAGAGGAAAAGTGCTAGTGCGTTGTATGTACTTGTAACCCAATAGATTATCCTATAGTAGTGAAAAATGAGTTAGAGGGGAGTTTTTCCACCCTTCATATCGACTACGTAGATGTTGACTTGAATTGATTACCATTGGCTGATAACAGTATACGACGTTAATGTGTTTTTCTTGCGAATGCTGCACAGATTATGTTAAAAACTATCCCAACAAAACGTCTCACGCATCTCTAAGAACAGGCACAAGAAAACTCACCTGAACTTGAGCTTGTTACTGTCTCTACCCGAAGGAGAACATGGCGAGCTCGTCTTACAGCCAGACACGCCCTGCTCCAAAATGGCGTCGACTCGGCAAAGTTCCGCATTTTTCAGTTAATGAGTAACGAAGAGGGCGGTATTGACTACGGGTAATAATAATACGTAACAGGCGAGAGTTCACACCGAATTTTTTTTTGCGACCAAGTCCGTCGTAAATAAATAATAAATGCGCATATTTAGATCGCGTTTTTGAGAATCCTGAGCTTTCAGATCAAAAGAAAGTTGTCGGCCACACGCTTGAAAATGATATGGTCGTCATAGGCAGAGATTGGCCCATGTGCGGTCTCAAATGGTGCCAGTTGCGGTCGCGTTGGACAAGTGGTCGGCGTAGGCAAGTCGCTTTATGCGTATGTAGGGTAAAATCGAGGCCAAGAAAAAGTTATTGTGGCCATGTGGCCAGCTTATAGAGGTGGTCGCTTTTTAATGATTTTGACTGTATTTGCACTGCACAGAATAGTGTGTAACACAAATGGAGATCACAATAAAACAAACAAAAACAAACAAAAATAAGCAGTAATCATTTATTGCACAACAAGTCTTACTCTGTAATTACCATTTCTAAATTTTACAACAGCAAATTGTTGTTACATCATACAAAATAGAATCCCTCACAATTTTGCCTGGTCTGTTTTCTTGAAGGAAAATATAGCTGAGTATAAATAACTTTGGCGTCACTTTCTGGTACAAATTATAAACAATATTGTTGATCTTTTTGTCAACATTCACCTTTCAATACTATTTAGTTGGATTTTTAGTCCACTAGCAAAAAAAAAATGTATTTATGCCCCTACTGTAGTTTCAAATTTTTCTGTGTACTTGTACAGGGAGCTTTGGCATATATGAATGACTTTGATAAATGTTAACAATGCTTTCTTTTAACCCAACATATATCTAACGTTTTCCTTTTGGGGAAACATATCTACACATGGCAAGCATACGCAAGTAAGCAACATTTTTCTGAATTAAAGCAATGGAAGAAACTATGTGTACCAGAAATTTTACAATTGTTTTTACAATTGTTAAAGTAAAACAAAAAGGAAACAACCAGAGTGCACTGCACTTTTTTCCCCTTAGGCCATGTTGATTTGATTATATGGATGACGTCCTCCGGGAGCCCCAAAACTGATGCGCGCGTGCGAATAAAAAAAAAGTTTTGCAAGAAAAAAAAGTTGTTTTCATTATGAAATCTACGTGGTCATGAGGGTTGAACAAATGGGACAGAATATGGTTTGGCGAATAATCTAATCTTCAAGTTCATTTCCTTACAATTTCGTCTTTTTTCGTTTGATTTTGGCATTCTACGACATTGGTATAGTTTTTACTTATTTTTTTTGTAACTTAAGGTATATTTTTGATCATTTTGCAACTGTTTTGTACGATTTACAGTATGGTTGAAAACTTTTTTTTTTTGGAAACGGCCGAAAATTCATGCGCGCGCGGATGTCATCCATATAATCAAATCAACATGGCCTTAATAACATTAAAATTTTTTTTCAATACCTCACATTAATTTTCATAGCTGTCAGTGTGAGTACTATAAGATTCTGGTATGGGTTGCATCCATATTGAACACATTTTAAAGATTTTCCATATTTCCAATGGCACCTCCTGACTGAAAGACTTTCACCATAAGTAGCAAGACTATGCAAAATATTTTTGTCAGAATACAGAATGCTGCATTATTGTTTACAGCATATGACTTCTTCCATACACATTTATTTCATATTTTGACTATCAAAACCTGTAAATCTTTTTCCATGTTCACCAGAGTTAGCCAGTCAAATTTACTTCCTATTTCACACCTTACGGAGTTTGTGCGCTGATGTGACAAACATCTGCACATTGGCCACTGAGAGCCGTAAAATTTATTATTTCACTTCTACCAGCCAGAATTTTGCTATTTCAATTCACTCTAACATAAAAATGTATTAAGAAACCGGTTTTTCAGACTGAAGATCACTAACTTTACAATATCTACAAAACATTGTAATATACTACATTTGAATAGATGCCTTTAATGAATTTCCACATAGATAACTGTCCCTTTTGCATATTCAGATCTGTTGCAGTGAGCACATTATATACTGGTGCTGGGATGTTTGTTGTATTGTTCTGGGCTGTCTGTCATCAGATGTTCTTGTCTACATGTCCTGTAAGTGTAACATAGGCAAAGATGTTAAAGGTGCTACATGTGCACTAGCGATCAGAGTAGAAGTTGTTCTATGGTATTTTCACTTTTTAAAAACTTCCCATCTAGTCACAACTACTTTCTGACTTCCAAAACATTTATGGGCCATGCCATTGAAACCATGCGTAGCTGTGCATTCTGAATCATCTGAATTAAAAACATAAGAAATAGGGATTTTCTTCTTACACAACACGTACTGTGTCTCACCTGCTTACATTTCAATGTCTTTTTATGTTTGAGTTCTGCCTCTTGTGTAAGAAGAAAATGCCTATATCCTATGTCCTACCCAGCCTACATGTAGGTACCATCCTGGTTAGTTTACATCCGCTCCCACAGTCTCTACCAACCTGACGAAATTATTTTCAGAAGTGAAACATATATATTGCAGAGGCTTTTAGTCTACGGAAGACTTAGCATTTTTACCGGTACATTGTAGATACAGTTTTTAGAATATACGGTTAAAGTGTGACCTTGAAATGACCTACATGTACTGCGACCGTTGGGTGCACAGTCAGCTGGAGGTCAACCCCAAACATGGTTTCCCAGGGTTCCTTCACTGCTGACACGAGAGCCTCTGTAGACTCGGGTGTTTCTGTCAGCAGGTGCCAGCTGGACTCTTCTGATGTGTCCTGGAAAGGGAGAGGCTTCAGGATTCACAATCATATGTGTCCTGTCTTTTTTAGGCAAAGGTACAACTGTACATGTACAGTAAAACTTACATGTAGCCTCTACCAGGCTTCAGAAGTGGCTGGAAAGAGTAGATATTGGCCAAATAAACAGAAAACATGTTGGGGGAGTTGCTCCACTGAAGGTGTACAATTTGTAGCCAGGAAAGCCAGGCATCGGCCCCAAGATCTCTAGGCTACTTATCACTTGTCCATTTCAAGGATTGACTAATAAACTAAAAAGAAATCCCTCTCTTGTACTGGTGCCACATTATGGAACTCACTCCCACCTCAATTAAAAAGAGCAGATTCTGTTTCTTCCTTTAAGCGCCTTTACAACCAGGAGTGTGTTGCCACATCATAACTTGTTATCAAACAGCATTGATATGCAAATTCCTTTGTTATATTCCTTTGTTATTTCCTTGATTTGTTTTTGTATTTTTGCCTTTATTACTATGAGTTGTGGCTCTTGGTTTGACAAGTTTGTTTTATTACCACCTTACTGAGTTGCGGCATTATATAGTTCTTCTACTTTTATTTGTACTAAGTTGACTTTAATTTGTACTTATAAGTTGACTTATCATTTTGTTATATCTGTTATTTTCTTGTATATTTTATTTATGTATGCCTGCAGGGCACATTGAAAAACGCCTTAGTGGCAATATGTACACCCTGGGTAAACAAATAAACAATAAACTGGTGGACGTATACGTACTAACTATCTAAAACCTGCTCAGAAAAGAATAAAATAGTCATGCCTTCCAGTTCCAGAGTTATCAACCAAGAATTGGTGTTCAAATCTTCTTTTTCTCTAAAACTATCGTAGAGTGAAACTCGCTGCCACCAAAGTGGCATCCTCACTACATTTTGTAGATAGCTTTATACAATGCTTCCAGTTACATCAACTTACATGTAGATGTGCAAAGATTAGGTTTAACACCTTACCTCGTTGAGGAAGTCCAGGGACAGGTTACATGGTGCATCCTCATACAGGTTCTGAGGAGAGACATGACGACTCCAGAAAATTAGCAAATCCAAAGCATAGACATCATACATCTTTACTTTTTTCCTTACTATTTATTTACTAGTATCAAGATTTACCACACACTGTGGAAGGACTGACATAACAGGTGGCTATCACCTTTTCAAGATGTCAGCCCTGAGACCAGACTGTAAGGTTTGAACCACTCACACCAGGAAGGACACCTACTCTTTTCGGTAAGTGCGGTGGGATCTTTAATGTTCTCAAGGTTTGTCTCTCTTCAAACACGGGACCTCCAGCATTACATCCTAACCAAGAGGACATCCCTAGGCAAAGCTAGGTACTCATTTTGACTTGAGCCAAGTGAGGAAATAGTTGTTAAGTGTCTTCCCCAGGGCACAAGCAGGGGCTGCCAGGGATCATGCATTTTTTCATTTATTTACTTATTTATTTGTCTCAGGCGCTCAGTGGCCCATAGTTAGACAGTACAGTAACAAAACCTATTACATGTACATACTTTGTACATGTATAGAACACAAAAAAATCAAATCCTATACAAACAGACGTTTCCAGAGGT